ATCCACCCTCCCCTGCATCTTTCCACACCTTTCCCTCCTAATCCTCCTTTTGTGTTTCTTCTTTCAGCCCTGCATGTTTGTGTGCACCCCCATGTTAATGTATGTATCTCTGTCATTTCTGTTTTAGCCTCTGAAGAAGAACTTGCTAAGTTCGCAACGTCAGGCCACATTAATTTTAGATTTATATATTTCAGGTCCATCCAGTCAGTAAGCAGTTTGCAGCAGTTTTACTTTTTTTCAGGTTTTGTATTCATCAATTCCAAGAAGTTTGACGAATCAACATGTAGCAATAAATTCCTTTTGTGAATTGTGTTTGAAAAAAAAAAACATGCACATAGGGGTGTACATGTACTCGTTTCCAACTGATATATTTACTGTCTGTGGCATCGATACAAAATTAAATCTACATGTATAAGGCCAAAAAAGGAAAGTCTCCGGTTTCTGGTATGGAGCTTGCCCAAAAAGTGGTGCGGCGACGCGGCTTTTTTTTTTCTTACCTGACTTTTTTGCTTCAAATGTCGGCTGATGACTGCAAATGGTGCCCGACTAAACTTAGTGCAAAATGTACGGGAGTCCAGAGAGTCCACATAAAGCTTATTCTCGATCATACCCCCCATCTAAAAACACGTTAAAATTGTGCTGCAGCAGGATTCCAGTCAAACCAGTGAGTTTGGCGGTTTTGAGACATCATCTTTTATTGAAAAAAAAACTTTTTCATTTTGTCGACGCGCATGGCTACGGCGACGCGCGCGCATACCAGAAACCGGCCTAAGATAATTATGAATCACGATTCATCAAAAGTTCTATTGACCGACTATATATACTTTTGAACGACTTCAGGTCTAGTCAATGGAAAAGTTAATAAGTCTGAAACCAAACTCTATTTGGGGGATATGTCAGTCACTCTCATGCATTCGAATCAGTCAAGATTCTGGAACGATATACATCCCTACATGTCTGAAACGGGTGATATAACTCTCAACTCTCAAGACAAAATTATTGCTATATTGCAAACTCCCTATCATTTTTCTGACCTCGGTGTGACATTGGCCTAAACACCACGTGTAATTAGGTTTACTCAAAAGATACAACAGTGAGCACGACAAAACGTAAATCACATCGAAATGCGTTTACCAAAATGCGCGACTACCCATTCAAAGATAGTGGTGAATGCATTTTCCCAAATCTATAGGCATATGCGTTGAACTGAGTGTTTAGTGATAGTAAAAACAATTTATTAGGGCCAATTTTTTCTGGGATAGCTTTCACTGTCATATTAATTTCTTGTTTACAGAAAGAATCCATATTTCCCTCTTGAACCTACTACGATGGAGTTGTATATTAGGTATAATCTACGAAAATAATTTTCATTTTTATAAAATAACAAATGTTGGAAGAGTTTATGAAAGTCTGAAATTTTGCTTCCAGATTAAGGACTTTAGTGTAGGGACATTTTCCAGATCTTCAGCTGAAGGAAATTTGATGTAAATAGGTGTACACCAAGGGCGGATCGGGGGGGGGGGGGGTGGGATGGGCCAACGGGGGCCATGCCCCCCCCCCCAAAAAAAAAGAAGAAGAAGAAACCAATTTTTTGTTTTAAGTGGCGTCGCACTGCGTACACCACCATCTTTTCCTCCAAAAGATTTGGTTAAAGTGGTCAGAAATAGCCCCCGATCGCACCACAGAGCATCAAGAATCCATAATTTTTCGGGCCCCGAACCCCACACCGTATTTTTGGGACCCACTTTTGGGAGACCAAACATTTTTTTGGCCCCGCTCCCCCCCCCCCCCCAAAAAAAGGTGTTTTCGATTCGCCCTTGGTGTACACGAACACAACATTTTTCGATTAAAATAATTAAGAGCACATTCATGACAATGTGGCCCAAGTCACTGTCCTGAGATACCTTTGATGTGCGCATGCACCTCGCGCACGCGCATGGTATCCTTTACCCACCTCAGCTTCACCAAGGCCGCTCATGCGCGTGTGTATAAAAGCAAGTCGCAAACCTTTCTTTCGAACATTGCGTCCTGAGAGCTCATTCGTTCAACATGGTCAAAAGATTGTCACCGAGCGCCAGAGAGCGCATCACTTTTTTGCATTCCTCCGGGGCTAGCCAGAAAGACATCATGCAGGCCCTCAGTGAGGATGGCCTCACCGTCAGCTGGCGTAACTTGCGTCTATTCCTGAAGCAATTCAAGCTAGCGGGTTCGTCGTCGGTCGAGAGTCCAAGAACGGGAGGCCGTGCCAAGTTTCCGCCGTGGTTGAGGCAGATGATCCACGAGCTATACCTGGACGACAACGGGCTGACAACCAACAAGGTTCGGGAGATTTTAGACAAGATCTTCGGTTTGGATGTTTCCGAGTCGTACGTCAGTCGCATCCGACAGAAGTGTGGGTGGAAGCGTCGCCCTCTCCGATTCATCAAGGTCAAGACGGATCAGCCCGGCAATCCAGCCGAGATCGAGAGTGAAGATCGTCCTACATGCTCCTGAATCGTCTGCAACCCAAGACGAAACAAACCAACCGGTCCTTTTAAGGACCAACACATTTTCCAAAAAGAGATTGATCCAGCATTGTCAAAAGTACACATTAAAATAAAATGAAAATATATATGATTAAATGAAATATGAAAATAAATACATTTTTATATTATTGTTCTTCCCCTCTTCAACATTTCGAATGTATCAAACACTTGCATATCAATTTTTTTAGTCAATTTTTGTTTGTTTCCGCAATGGTATCAGGGGACAGAAATAATCCAATTTGTGGTGCGTGTATATAACGAAATGAACGGGGATGGGAAGAGTGGGGATCAAACCAATCATGGAGGTAGAATTACCATGAACCAATTAAGGCCATTCCATTTTACAAGTCAAATCACAAACTTGTTGGTCCCCTTTGGAGGCGTTTCAAAAAAAAATTCACAAATAGGGGTCACATCTTGCATATGAATAAAAAAAACAACAATCTAAGTCTAACACAAATTCTGATTTTCTAAGACATTGAATAGACAAATATATGTCGCTCGTTAGGCCAAATAAAAGAAAAACCATGTTTGTCGTCCCTGCCCGCTTCCTTTTGGGGGCCGCTTGGTTTTTTGTTTTTAACCCAAACATGATGTGACATAATTTGGCTTTTGTCTGTTGCATTTAGCCATTGATCTCCATTAGTAAGACCATATAAAGCTGGTATGCCATTTCTTGAGGCCAATGGCGGCCATTTAAAAAAAAATGGCGGCCACCTTGAAAAATAGCCCGGTCGGGCGGTCATTTTGGAGGGGAAAAAAGGGCCTCCCGCTTCCTTAGTTTTTTTCAAAAAGGCAGGACGCTAAACATGTTTCGTTTTTATTTGGCCTTATTGTTTCTTTGATATTTCAGCTGGTATGTTGGGTGGGGAATAAGCCAAGGCCCAGTCCAATGTCGACATGGCTAATTGTCCATTTTTTCTAAAACTGAATCGGAGTAACTTTCATAATACAGTCGAGTCTCGTTATTAAATACAAACTCGTTCGGACCTAGCCAAATTGTTTGTTACTGTGCACATAAATGCACAGTAGGGACTAAGGCTTTATGTTTGTTATAACCAGAATTTTGTATTAACAGAGTTCGTACTAAAGAGATTCGACTGTAGTGCTTTTATTTATTCATTATTAAATAATAATGCTTTCTCGTTTTGGATTGCCTAATATTTTTTTACAGAACTTCTGATAACTTGTTTGAATGTTACGTTGATACGATCCAGACTTGCATCAAAACTCAGTGATGAGCATCTTGAGGTTGCTTTTTCATCGATACATTGGTAACTTTTTATTCTCATACGAAACTCCCGGATTCGTTGTCCAGCTCCGTCTTCGTCTCCAACCCAGAAGTCAGTAGGAATCGTGCTACGTTCACAAACCCAGTAAAAATGACGTCAAGCATTATTGGCCTCTTTTTTGACAGACTTTGGTGTCTTTTACAGCATGGAGAAAGGAAAACAGATAGCATAAGATGGACTGATATGGTATAGAAATGTGTCAAGTCATGGGGCCAAAAGTCTTTAAGATTGAGCCTGCAACCGATTATGTAGACGAAGCCAAGCAATCCCCCCCCCCCTTCTCATAACGTTCGCCACAAAAGTTGTTTTCCAAAATATGAAAGGGTCATTCGTTGTGCCAAGCGCTTTTTTTTTTTTAATTCGATACTTTGGAGCATGTTTGGAGTCAGTAAGGCCTTGGCTTTCTGATCCGTATTCAAGGAAAGGATTATCACTTAGATCACTTCCTCTTTGAAAGCGGTAGCCTTGATTTTGGCGACCATTGTCACAATGGGTTTGTCTAAGCGGAAGTGGAGAAGGGGCATCTTCAACTTAACATGTGCTTTGTTTACTGCGTGCCACACTTTCTGAATGGTTGTCCCGCAAATCATTATTTATAGCCGTACCATATGTTCGGTTCCTTTGAATGCGGTAGGCTTTGTGGAGTCAGAGACGCCTTTGCGTTCAGTGGAGAAGTTGGGGAGGGGGGGGGGTATACGGGGGGGGGGGTTGGCAGATTGCAACTGGATGGAGATTTTAAAAGCAAAATTGGGACGCTGGTAGAAGCAAATTGGGACGGTGAAAATGGCTCAATTAAACGGGACGAAAGTTTTATTTTGCAAGGGGCGAACCAAATCCTGGCTACGCGCATGTTGGCTTTCCTCCACTAAAAACAGTCTGGATTCCCCGATGGATTATCACTCAGGTCATCCCTGTTCGAAATCGGTAACTTTGATTTTCGTAACAAAAAGCGATCAAGGGGCGCATGTTCAACTTCGAGCGGGCTTTGTTTACTGCGTGCCACACGATCGTGCCCAGGCTCCTTTAAATTCAGTGCTTTGGTCATATTGGAGTACGAGTCGGTGATGCCTTGCTCCGTGCACCGAATGGGTTTATTCATTGCAGAGGGTTATCACCTTCGGATTACATAGCACTGCGTTGGATCAATTTCCCCCCCCCCCCCAAGAACTTTGAGGCAACAACCTTTGGCAATAAATCCTGTTGTGAATTGTGTTATTCTGAGAAGGAAAAACAAACATACATGTTTCCAACTGGCGTTCCAGAGTGGCGTTGCTACAAAACTATCCCAAAATTTGAATTACAAAACATCAAAGTTCTGTTTGAAGGGGCCCACATCAGCAGTTGTTGGAAAGACTTCAGGTCTAGTCAATGGGGAAAACAACTTTGACAGTGCCGGTAAATAAAGTTTGCCAGTCTGAATCCAAACTCTATTTGGATCTAAGATTCTGGAACGCTACTCTCTCAACTCTCAAGAGAAAATTACTGCCACATAAACAATGCCATAGCCGTGATTGTTACATTTATCTATCAATTTCTTTGCCACATGAAGAATCCATCCAAAATAAAACAAAACAGGTACATCATACAATGTCAATGCATATGTGCAATTTATTGCATATGTGCATTTGAGACATCCGGTTATATGAAATGGTTCATGGCTTTAAAAATGAAAGTGAAAACTACATGTTCTGAATTGAGGATGTATTTCATAGCCTTAGTTCGATCAGTTTCAGTCCTATATCAATATACACACTTATGTATGGGTAACATTGTGATATAATATTATAACACCCCGCCCACAGATTCTGTATCTTGATTGGCGGAGAGAGCCACATGGTATTCGCTATTTTTGCTATACGCACAGCAACAAAAGTACTTATATACATAGCAACCAAAGTACTATACGGATATCAACCAAAGTACTATACGCATAATAACCAGTACTACCGGTATGTTCAAATGCATACGGGTGGTCCTGTTGCGCGGTCCTGTTTCTCAAGCGCTAACGCTACAGAGCATGGGTTCAAACATTTTGTGACAGGGTGATCTGGAAAGGCTCAAGTAAAGTTTCAACTAATTTTGTATTGAAATAGAAGTCCATTTCAATTGTATTTAGATTAAATTAATCAGTTATCTATTAAAAAAAAGCAGAATCTGTGGGCGAGGTGTTATAAAACGAATATCGACTGCTTTATCTCGTGGTGTAGTGAAACTAGCCTAGTTCGGTGATCCACGGAGCATTCTATTTTCCCTCGGCTTTGCCATGGGAAAAAAGAATGCTCCGTGGATTACCTCAGAGGGCTAGCTATACTATACCACTCGAAGGAGTCAATATATTTTGTGTACTATGGTGTTATATACTGGCTGATAAGGGGATAAATAAGGGCTTATTTGGCATGTTCATGCTGTTGAAATTCATTTCTCCTGGTTAAAAAATACAAATGTAACATGAAGAATGAAGTGAGGTGCATACTCTGCTGCTATTCTTTTCAACACAAAGTTTGATCATACTTCCATTATCATCTGCCGTGATACAAGTTCATGTATATGATGAAAGTTGTAAGTCTTTTTTTTTAAGGAGTTGACTGCAGTTGACGGCAACACATACATGTAGTTGGCCGCTTGTGAGCCCATGCTTACAAAACTAAACTGTACCGCCCTCAATGTGCATATCTGTCATCCACATACAATCCTTGACGCTTCCATAACAGCATTCCTTGACAACTGACCGGCTAGCACCAACAGCCTTGGTTGGTCCCACTGAGTTTAATGTAGGCATGTAGGAATATACATGCAGATCGATCATGCAGTTGGTCTCCTTACAAGATGTTTCTTGCCGAAGACACTCCAACCAGATTGGTCCACTGGACCAGCATGACATGGCATGTATTTGGTGGCCCCGGTTGGTATCACAATTTAGGAGCTCCAAAGGCATCAGGCATCCGCTCAATAGTGTATCTGTGAAGGATAGGGTGAAATTCATATCAGAGGAGTTATAGACTAATTCCTTTGAAGCATCTCATTAAACTGTCAGTACCATTTCAGAATTCCGACCCTAAACTAAATTTAGGGGAATTTTAAGGGTGCAACAGTTGTACAGGGAGTAAGAAAGTGGGCATTGCATTTTACAGTCAATGAAGTCAAACCCACCCCAGGGTGAGGGGGAGGAAGAAAAAAATTGGGGCAAATATTACAAAGAGTTGGCTGTCCTGAAAAGCTTTTAAATTTTGCAACAAGAATTATTCTTGGACCAAGCCTGCTTTTATCTAGGATCAAAAAGAAAGAAATGTGATTCCGTTTAGCTGATTCTGAGAATGTTTTAATAAAAATGTCTCAGGTTGAGGTCACAAAGACCGGTGTTCAAGAGTTACACCAAATCAAATCATTCCCACGATTTGAAACTAGAAATTTGAATTAAGTTTACAATTGAAACAGTTAAAATCAAGATCGACTGTCGCAGTGATACTCCACAGGTTAGTCAATAAAAATGTATGCATAGAGTTCATCTGTCTGAAAATGTGAGAGGCATTCTGGCAAAAAGGAGATGGAACTGGGTACAGGTCGTAGCAGAGAAAAATGAAGAGGGACAAAAAGAATGGGGCTGATTTTCTCCTGATTTATTTATATTTGTAATCTTTGATACGTCTACTTCAAATATATTAACCCCAACCTCCTCAACTCCATCAAAATCCATCCCCCATTTGGGAGGATTTTGCGGGACTTGGTCCTGCAGGCCTGGTTAGACTAAATATCAATGGAGTATGATGGACTTGGGCCTGGAGGCCTATAGCAAAGCATGCATTGGAAGCAGTGTGATTGATGGATTTTGGTGGACTTGGTCCAGTACTTAGTAAAAGACAGTAGCGTTAAAGAGAAAGTTTTTAAAAAAAGTGGGGAAAAAGCGTTGTTAAGGAAATACAATTGTCATCTTTCTCAGCCTTTTTTTTCCGGTAATTTACTTTCTTGACATGTCGATAAACAGTCACAATCAGCAATAAACAGCCATCTTACAATCATCAATAAACAGTGAACTTATAAACAGCCATAACTTGTCAACTGATGTTCCAATTGAAGTGCAACAAACAGTATTGTAAGGAGAATTTGATTCTCTTTCCTAATACCAACAAATCCTCATTTCGACCTCTGCCAAGTTCTGTCTCATTTTGCCAGAATATATATAACCTATTTGGGTTAATCAAAGTTGCTCGTATAACTGTTTGGTTCGGCCCACCTCTTGAACGCCAGTCTGAAGCGGGTGGTAAACCTTTCAGAAAAGTTACTGATACTGCAAGGTTTGGCCGTTACTGCACCCACCTTTTCTGTGAGAGGAACATGATGGGCACTCCGGGGATTTTTCGTATTCTCCTCTTGAGGTCTCGGTCACAGGTCGCAACAATGTAACACTTGTGCTGTAACACAACAAAAAGCCCATGAATAATAAAACTGGGTCTGTGTCAGTGTGAAACATGTCCATTACATTCTGCTTAAAAAAAAAAAAACAACAGTACTGAGAATTGCAGCTGTGGAGGAGTTGTTCTGAAATGTGCAATTTAGAATGTCTTCACACTGTGATTCTTTTCACATTTTCATTATTTATAAATTGCCATAGAATGTTGACATTTTATCTGTAAAATGCTGTCATCCTGACATAAAATGTAAGGATCGCATCAACTCAAAATGCTACTTCAGAACTCCATAGATGAGTGCTTTTTGTAACCCAAAAGGAGAGTCTATTTTCCATTGACTAACTGAGTCACCGACTGACTGACTCACCGAATCACCGAGTAAAAAGAGTGTCATTAACTGAGATGTTTGGGTCAAGCTTTACTGGGAAAACCTAGTCTTAATTTCGTTTTTAGCATACCTGTGTTACTCTCTGTACAAGGCAGTCGTCGGCATACGTCCCCTGATGCAAACAGGGTAATCGTTCAAATCTCTCGTCTTTCACCGTCCGCAGAGCGACGTTGTATTTCCTACCTAGTTTCTCAATCTCAGCCATCACACAGTCTGTTATGCATGGAATACCTGCAATGGACAGCGGTATAAAAGCTGTATGAAAATCCAGGCAACAGATGATATAATAACTACATGCACATCACCATGTTCTCGAAAATGGTCCAAAATGGGGGAGGTTGTAGCAGAATGCATGTACATGTCCAATGTCTGAATCCTGCATCCATTGACTTTTAACAGTAAACAAAACGTAAACTGCCAAGAAGCCCAACAGGAAACTGAAGGAGAAAGTTTACCACACATTCTAAAGTTGTCCTTTTGGATTCAGAGTACAGCCTTAACCCCACCTTAAGCTACAAAATACTACTGGTAGTAAACTGTAGTATGCAGTTCCTTTGCATATACATTTACATAAAAAGTGGGCACAGCACTCATAGTAGGTTTTGAAGTATTCTGTAGTACTCAGTTCTTCATCCCAAAGTAATTGCTAGGACGTTAGGGTTTATGTCTGCACCTGTAATTTGAGGTCGTTGCCTAAGTAAGCTTTAAATATTCTTTAACACCCTCCTGTGGTGTCACACTATTTTTTTCCCTAGCCATTATGGGGTGCTGCGTGCCTATTTTTTCGATGCCTTGCAACAAATTCAGTAGTTCCACAGAATCACAGCAAGACACTTAGGTTTTCGTTCTCTTTTTCCCCTTCGATAAAACCAATGAGGTTGGAGCAGAAAAATTGTTTATAAAAATGGACATACATGTAGCAGGATCAGAACCAGGAATCTCTTAATCCATAGCTCGTCTTGTTAGAGACTACTAGTCTACTGTGGCAGCTCGACGACTGCCGTTTTTTTAAAATGCTGTAAATATAACTAATCGATTAAATAATAACAATGATGTGACGTCATTGTTTTTTTCTCGTTCATAAACATTTTTTGCAATTTAACAAATTCTGCAAACAGACGATGTCTAATTGATATAGATTTTTTTTTTTTTTCAATTTATGCATGAGCCTCAAAAATAATCTATGACATGAAAACGACAAAATATCTTAACTATGACCGGCAAATGTTTATGCTCAACTTCATTTTAAGTATATCGTAAGAGTAAATTTCTTTTTTAATGGAGTTGTGGAAAGGCTTTTGTTCAAGCAAAAATTTAGAATACACGTACTTGGAGGGTGTTATTTAAAGGACATGTACAATGTATATCAATATTTGAATACTTTCCTTAACCCTAACCGCCCTGAATCCTCCAAAATCCTTTTTGCAAATTGGAGGAATTTGCAGGATTGAGGTTACATGGCAAAAGTGCGTTGCTGATTTCGGAGTACGCACTGTCTCAAGGTCTTGGGCCGGACCTTGTGTTGTTTATGCTCAGCCGTGCATAAATTTAGTCCTTGATTATACTTGACATCCTCCGCACTGCTCCAGGATGTCACTGCCTCTGCCTCAGCCTATTGACAGACATAGCCGGAGGATTTTGCAGGATTCAGGCAGTGGTCATCCCTCCATGGACCATATTCAAGAAATAGCGGAGGAATTTGCAGGATTGAGGCTATATGCTATTTTTCCATGAGGCCAAGTGGAGGATTTTGCAGGATTGAGGCTACATCCTAATAAAAAAGGCCTAGGGAGTTAGGGTTAATTAAGGGATAAAGAATCTGCCGTATTCTTGCAAAATCATTACTGATGCCAACAAATTGAAGGAAAGTTCTTGTTACGAGGCAGTGCACTCAATTTTTTATGAGGGCGCTTTATATCCCCCATAGACTTGTGTACATTATCTGGTGCCTCTATAAGCAAAAATTGCTAAATCTTGTTTGGCACATGTATCTGCAATTGGACAACCAGACTGGCTTATTGCAATACAATGAATCATGAACAAAAAAATCCACACTTGCATTTTGCATAGAGGCAGTCCATCATTCCCTGGACCAGGTCAATTTTGTTCTTGATGGAGAAATTGACAAAGTTGGTATCCACCAGCACGTAGTACGGCGGTCCCAGCTGTGTGTTGTACTTGAAGAAGAGCGCTGAGGAGTACTGGGGGACCTCGCGTTCCTTGATCTTTGCTTCTTTATCTTGCTTCCATTTGGGCGGTGCTTTCTTCTTCTGTCTGTCCTTGTCCTGTCTGGAGATTGTTAGAAGAGAGAAGCGGTTACTCTAGTGGTGTGATATAAATCCAGATTTGTTAAAATTTGGTTTGAATTCCACTTTTTGGTTTCGGTTTTGGAAACCGGATATATTCGAAACCTACCTTTAAAAATACTCCAGCCTTCCATTTTTGTGTGACACAAGGTCAAGAAAATAACTGGAACATTCCCCAATTTGCTCCATGGTCTGTGATTGTAACCGCATTCACTTGCTGGTGGTCTTCTTGGTATATGAATAGCCTGCTTATTTGACTTATCAGAGAGTTCCCACCCATTTTTTTTCAAGACAGCTCTGGAGTGTTTTTGTCAAGGCCCAGTGGTCAATGAATCTTGCAAACTGAACCTAGTCATTGGGAGGGCATTACGATTACGGCACCTCGCTCATCACTTTTTGTGGGCTGAACCTGAACTTCTGTGAAATCAGATAACCGATACCCAGTTTGAAGAAAATTAGGATAACCCGATTTTGAAATCTTCAATTTCTCCCAATGGTCAGTAGGTTACTGCCTACGTATTTTTTTTTGTGGTATGCCAGGAACCTTCCTTTTCCCTCAAGAGTACATACCTTTAGTGCTAGTTCATGTAGTTATGGGTTTTTGCAAGATATTTAACTCCCCATGTGAATGGTTAGACCCCACCCCCATTTTTAAGTTAGTATACAATATGAGACACCATGAGGCTGTCGGTGTGTTTACTTTTGGCCAGGTCACTTTTGAGAAATTCTCCCCAATATTTCTTTCAACATATATACATTAGGCCTTTTCACACTGTCCAAAATCTCCGGGTTGGAACCGGTTCCAACCCCGAGATTTTTTTCAACCCTTTTCCCACTTCTAAAGTTTCAACCCGGTTCCGACCCGGGTAGAGTGCTCTAGCCGGATCGAAATCAACCCTGGGAGGGACCAGGGTTGAAAATCTCAACCCGGATCGAAATTGCATTTTTCGGCGTGAACCGTGTCGAAAATGATAGTGTGAACCGCCCCGGGTTGAGTCACTCACGGCCGATCCGTGTTGAGTTGAGGCCGACATTTTACCGAAAATCTGACACGCCGAGCATAATATTTCCCTCCACCACTATCGCCGTCACAAACACCGATCCCGAAACAATCGCTCCCTAATTATCATCCAATAATGTATTGGTGTATGGAGCATCCTTTACCGAGTCTGCGCTTGTATTAGGTCCGCAAAATGTACCCCAAAAATGCACATTTCTAATGTTAAATAGAACGAATCGTCTAACGAAATGACCGGAGCCATTTTGGAAATATTGAACACAGCTGCGCTGGTGTCGTACAAAAATCGGACTCCCAAATCGGATTCGTTTACTCTCTTATTATTGGTCAAACCCTTTCACGTGACAGGTTCTTCTCTCAATAGGCATGCGCAATACTACCAATGAGTCCGTATTTCACAGAGTAGTAAATTCACGCTGCACACCGGCCTGTCCGTAACGTAAGCCACGTGCGTCGCAATGCATTATGGGATTGAGAAAATCATCGCAGCGCCCTGTGCCGAATGCGATCCGTGTCGAGAATTTGTAGTGTGGATTCACAGGGGCCGTAGCCGGATTGAACGTTACACGGTAGGGCTGAGTCAATTCGAATAATTGAATATTCGAATATTCGACCTTCCAATCGATCGAATATTCGAATATTCGGTTATTTGGCCATTCCAAATTCCCTCAAAAGCAAAAATATGCCATACATGTACATGTAGTCAACGTACGTGCGCACGTCAGCATGCCATGCATGATTTCTTCACAGGTAAGTCAGGTATTTGACAACAATCAGTTGTTCTTCAGTCGTCAGTAATTTAAAGATTAACAATAACCAGAGAAGCTAGAGTGAAGGATTCCTTGTTTGCATGGGGGACGTATTAAGCCGTGAACCCCAAACAAGGCGGGTGGCGTCAGCTATTGTGACTCTCCGACCCTTAACTCGCAAACAGGAACCGAGCATATCTATTACTGGAAGCTTCTTGAAGTCTACAAAACGGTGTACTTCCTAGTCACAGTATTGAGGATAAAAAATCACTTTTATAATAATAACTCACACTTTTGTCACCAAGAATTGAGGAAATGATTTTATATCATTTTAAATAAACTTATTCTCAACAACCAAAAACTCCAAGAAAAAAACCTGATATTTAATGTCTTTATTCAATGAAATATGGGTCTTTGAATTGTAAATGCATATTTAAGTTTATGCAAATAATGGGAGTGGGCGCGGCATACACACGCCCCAGCTTGACACGTGCAAAGCAGTATTTCCTTGTTTGCCCACAGGGGATGTATTATAAGCTGTGTACCCAAAACACGAAGGGTGACATTTCAGTCAAAAAAAAAAAAAATCGCCAGCCGATCTCCGGCGGGCGCATTGTTGGCGGGCTAATTAGGGCACAGGTGCGCTGACCCGGTTCTTTTGTCTGGCTAAGTGCGTGCTCTGGAGATAACTTTCTAACAAATAGGCCACTAAAAGGTTTGGATATTCCAACTTGCAACATTTTGATACATTTTGTCTAGCTGTGGTTTTCTATGCTGGGAATCAGGGGTACGGTGCGGTGAGTTGACCGCAAAGTCTGTCTGGCGAAATAAATGAGAGCTCTTTTGAGTTTGAAATCCTCTCTGTTGTCTGCCCTTTTTCTTGCGTTTTGCTCGACTTGGAGGACATAAGCCAGAGGTTCCCGCCATTATTACTGAAAGTATAATTGCTGAACTAGTTTTTGAAGTGTTTATGTATGTTTTATTTGTGCAAATATTGGGTGCAATTAGCAGACTAACCCAGCGAACAAAGCTGACGGACAGCGAACAAAAATGTGTTCGATAAAAGGGTGCTCTGATCAGTTGAGAGAACTAGATTATTTTGTACATGTACATGTATATAATTAAGGAGGCATTGAGGCGAACATCTAACAGCCATAATAAATTTACCCCTAAAAGTAAACAAGAAATTCTTTTAGAAAAATCCCAGAGTCCGTAACGTAAATGAACCAAGGTTTTCAAAACGTTTTAATGTAATGTTGGGGTTCATGACAAGTTTTCTACAACAACGCCACGTGCTGTGAGCAGCATACTGCGTGCAAGGCGATTCCCTATAACCACGTGCATTCGACACGATTGAACAGGCGATGGAAAACTTTGGGGGGAATTGGCTTCGCTGTATCAGTGTAATGTACCGCTTCTTGTGCGACCCTGTGCGAGCAGTACGTCCCTTAAAATAAGTACATGAAAACGGAAAATACAAAGGCCCACACAGAAAAAAGAAATCAAGTTCTTTGCATGAGATTGCAGAGGTCTTCTACATCGATGTTGGCATGCCATTTTCGCGATGTCAATAGCCGATCCAGTAAGCCCCTCCCACTGCGCACGTGGGCAAATTAACACGTGCTCCTCTCCAATGCCACGCTGCATTTTCCTATGCTGCGCACATGTACACGTAACACCAACGTGCGGGGAAACTTGCCAGGATCGCATCGGGGAAAAACAGCGGCGGTTTTCTTTTGAAAGTAGGGATTGTAAGTAGGACAACAACAAACAAAATTACGGACATCGGAAACGTTACTACTCATGCTAGAAGTTTGATATGAAAAGGCGTCAGGAAGTGTTTTGTGAAGACATGAAAGACAAAATGTCTTGTTTATCTTGTCGGAAGCATCAGCGATTGGTGTTGCAGTCTGGCGTTAAAAAAATGGGTTGGCTTTACTGCAAGCACTCCCAAAGCAGAAGTAATATATGTATGGCATTATTGCTTGGCATATATACAAGCTACTTTTATGGGTTTTTTTGGCAGCAACTTGAAACTTAACTTTGAGAATACACTTTTGTTGTTAAAAAAAAAGGTTTTTTCACCTTTTTATTTCATTGCATATCACCACCGAATATTCTTATTCGAAAATAAATATTCGAATATTCGTTTATCGATCGAATAACCGAATATCCGAATATTCGGCACAGCCCTATTACACGGTTCACGTAGCGGCCGTTCCCGTAAAGGACAGTGTGAACGTCGCGTCTCTCCGATCCGTGTCGAAAAATACTCGGGCTGAACCGGGTTGGATCCGGGTAGGTTTCAACACGGTTTGAAACGGAGATAGTGTGAAAAGGCCTATTGTTCCCTGTTTACAAGCAGGTTGGCAAATTATAAGCACGTGGGATGCCCCTGTTTCACTAAATTATACCAAAGCGACTTCAAGTTAAATTTTGTGGATAACTTAATAACACATTTCACTCACTCAGGAAATTACAAAGGAGCATTTACGTGTAGACCCCAGTCACTGGCTCCTACAAATCCAGTCACAGTTTAAAGGGAAAATACAACATTTGCGAACATCAAAAAATAAAACTACCAAATAATTTTGAAATACCTTGCTGGACTGTTAGTGAATGACAGTGTAAAGCATCCTGTAAAATCATGGCACCTGGTATACTGTCATTTTTAAGAAAAGTGGTATTTTTGTATCAATTTCCAACGCTGGTCGGCCGACCAGCGTTGGAAAAAACTGGCTTTTTTTCAAATACTGGCCCCAATTGACCATCGCACTTGTTTGCAATCGATTACACACCTATGAACGGGTACAAGCCAGCTAGACTGGTTCCCTGACCTTACAATTCCCCAATGTATGTAAACTGCTCTGTTTCCTCTTATATGGAGTCAGGGAACCAGACTACAGGAAAATGATTGTTTTTCTTGGTTTTTATAGCAGTTTCGAACCCAAAACCTCAAAAAAGTCAGTGTAACTATATTTGCTATATATTTCCAACCCCCAATTCCATCCATTTCTGAAAATTACAGCAAAAGCAAATGATGTATATTCCCTTTAATCACTGGTCAATTCAAAGTTTGGTCATACATAAATAGCCATGTTAGCACTGGCTGAACAATAACAAAGGATGCATTCGCCGTAGTTCATTGGAAAAGTTAGTGCCTTGTGATACTTGTGAATACAAGAACTTGTGACAGATTTGTGAGGACTTGTGATTGACTCAACAAACAACACAAGCAAATACATTGTACTTACATTCTGGCATCACGCAAAGATATCATTCGTTTCATGGCAGCATATTTCTTGGTTCTTTTGTCCTTCCCCTGAAATACATAAACATAAAACACATGATAATTTTAAAAAAAAAGAGAAGAATGCTATGAAGGTGATGATAATTTACAGTTGGGTTGTTTCCACTAGCGTGGATGATCCTAAACTGGTCTTTGGGTAACTTAATATAATAAAACCAATAAAAACAAATTAGTTTTCCACATGCTATTTTTAATGAAATGAAATAATTGTGCGATTCCATTCATGTACATAATAGAAAACATAAACTTCACAAGAAAATTCGAATTCGTTTTCCCTTTAAATAAAAAAAAATTCTCTAGAGGCACCTTGAGTCGAGTGTTGGATACCTGGAGGCGCAGAGGCCCAGACCACAAGTAGATTGTGTGAGGAATTATTAAGACATGGAAGCATGTCATGGATGAGTGATTGGGACACATGTGCTTTATTATTGGGCTTATGAAGGCGCCAATTCTATAGTCCCATTCTGTGAGGAAGCACTAGCATTTTACTAGCTCATTAGACACAGAATGGGGCTAAAAAGGGCGCTAAACTTTGCACCCACAACTTGCCTTCATGCCTACACTCAGCCTGGTGCTCCTAGGAGCTAGGCTAAAGAAGGACGGCTATACAAGCATGACAAGTGATAGGGAGTCCAGCGTTTTTCGTTTTTGTTGAGAAACTTGTCAAAAATTTGCTATCAACGGAACGACACTTGCAAGACAACTTTAATGGCATTAAAATTAGCTCCGTAGGCCCTTGTGTTTCGGAGTTTAATATGCCACTTTAACCCTTACCCTACTAGACCCTCCAACGCATGCCAATATGTGCCTCAAGAAAATCTCCTATGTTTTTTGCATGGCCCTCCAATATCTGCCATGTCATTTCAAGGGTAACTGGACAGGCACTCCAATACATGCCACAGAGAACAATGAGAGTCCTCTGATAACAATCAAGTGCCCCCAGCTGGTCAGTATCAGGCACCCTCCAGGGCCTCCAACTCCTGCCAATTGGAGCCTTCACTGCTACATCAAAGTATCCTCCAATAAACTGCAGCTGGAGGGCATTGGCATAACCAACTGACATGCAGTAAACTACCCTCAAAGAGTAAGGGTTAAAGAGGTGAATTTTGGGTGTCGGTGTCTGTAAGAGTGGCGGCCGAGTGTGCCAAACATGCTGACATCGTTTTCAATAGCATTGTGTTAAGCGAGGTCCAATCTGTCTACGTACGAATGTACTATTGCGTACCACCATTTGTTGACATTTTATTCCGAGAAATATTTCAGTAATACTTGTGAATTAAAATCTAGATCTAGACAATGATAGACTTCTTTTTTCTTTTATTAGATGATAACTTATTTCATGTTTTGGAAGATTCAAAATTCTAATGTAATTATCATCATTTGAAAACTGCTACTTTTGCGGGGTTACAAATATAGGCCTAGGTGTTTTCATTGGACTCCCAGTGATGATAGGGAGTCCGACGTTTTTCGTTTTTTGGAGAAACTTGTCACAAATTAGCTATCAACGGAACGAGATTTGCAAGACAAATTTAATGGCATTAAAATTAGCTCCATAGCCTAGGCGCTTGTGTATAAATAACCCTCCCAAGTGCCAATATCCACCCCCATCCCGTTTCACTCCCGTCCCCCGTCAATGGAAATGTTTTTAGCCGGCTGTTACGGCAGGTTGTGTGATCGCATAGCGATGTGGGCCTAGACATGGCTCGGACATGTCGGACAATCGTGCGTTGTTTAACGAGGGGAAAAAAATCGTAACTTTTTGTAATGAGAAATAAAAAAGCTGATTCAGAAATCAAACTACTGTTTTTTAAATAAGGATTCCTATGATACTAAACACTTTGATAAGTTTGGAGTTTTGCGGGGAAATTTAGAGGTGTTAAAATAATATTTGGACACAAAGAATTACAGATTTGTTTTCATTGAATTTTGCCATTTAAATTGTTGTATCTCCAAAATGCAAGCTCATATGAAAATGATTTTAACTGTTGTTGATTTTGTCGTGTGATTCTCTTTCCAGTGATACCAAGTTTTCTAGGGTTGTAAAGAAAAATCCAAAAAGTGCTCAACTCCCTAACACAAACCTTCCTGGCCAGCACAGTGACCGTTTTAGCCGATTTTCGGCTTACTTTGACAGATTGTTTGTTGTTAAAAAAATGAGTTTGACAGAAAATTTGACAGAATGGATTTTTTTGGACAGATATCAGAATTATTTCAGCAAAAACGGTTATTTAACAGAAAAACATAGCAAATTTGAAAAAAAAGTAGATAGTGGATATTTTGCCGGAGGTAATGACGGCAAACTAACGATTACTAAAGGTTTGCCGGCGGCAATCCATATCAACAGAGGGCGCTGTACTCTTTAAAATAGGGCTGAATTATAAGATGTATTAAATTCCCACCAAAAGTTGTGTAGCACGTTTGGTGTAATGGTTAAGCAAAGGCTCTAGTAAACGGGATGACTCGCGTTCGATTCCGACCGCACCATATTTTTAAGGTTTTTTTTTCTCATCCCCAAATAAATAAGAATATTCTTCTTTTATTATTTTAACATGTCTCAAACATTTTTTGCAGAGTATTACATTTTCTTTTTCAGATTTGTGGCTCTGGAGTATTTTTTTTAAAAGGGAAATAAAGTCCGAAATAATAAAATGGTCTGAATCCCATCATGTGAATACGAGCTAACAACGATAATTTTGGCATGGAGCCAGACTAAAACTTGTTCCCAGAAAATGTTTAAGTACAAAAAAACAGTAACTGCGCATGTTCAGTGCATATCCGGCAAACTAATGTTGGGAAAAGTTCCATACTCGGACGTCAATTTATCTGCTGCCAAACATATTAATTGTCACCTCACCTTGTCCTTTGAACCAAGAGAAATCCAGGAAGCTGTGTTAAGGTGAAAAAAATTTACTCAAAATGTGTTTTTAGAGCACATTTTGGATGCATACGTCATGCAGAACTAACTTGAAGCAGCCGGTCAAAACTGATTGTAGTGGCTGAAAGACAGCGGTACGTTATACACGTGACATCAACAACCATGACGTCGCATGAGCCTGCCAATGATAGTGCAATACGTCATTATGAATATTTATTTTCTCATGAAAATTTAGTTTATTTCAATGGATACTTCAAATACGTCCAAAGATTGATTATTGCAACAGCGATCGTGCGCGGCCTAGCGGTTAAGAGTCTCGTGTATCAAGCAAGCGTCAGAGGTTCGAATCCCGATGAAGTAACTGACTGATTAATAAATAGAAATTAAGGAAAGGAGAGGGTGAGAGTAGAGGAGGGTAAGTGGAGGAATAACCATAAAAGATGTAACTTTTGGCGCTAGACAATTAATTGAAAAAAGTGACGTCCGAGTACGGAATTTTTTCCCTAACGTTTACTAAAGGTTTGCCGTCTCCGGCAAAATATACACTGCCAAAAAAGTACACTTGTTTAAAAAAGCTTCAATCTTCAGTCGTGATGCAACCTCATTTTGACTGAAATTTACGCAATTTCATATAACATTAACACCACCATTGTTTAAAATATAATCTGAACCTTAATTTAGGCAACATCTGCCATGTCTGCATATGTGAATTTAAGTGTTTTTTTTATAGTGTATTTCGAGTAATTCATGGGAATTTGGCAGATTTTCACAAATCTGACAGAATTTTTGAAGTGCATTTAGCAGAATTTGGCCATGACCTTACGGTCACCCTGCTGGCAAGCCACCACTTCTCAAAAAAAATCACCGCACTTCGGGCACGTGGATTGGTGATGGGCATGTTGGACATGTTCAATGTACTTGGACTTGGGGTTCAGTATAGTAACTAAAATTAGCTGTTCGTTTGGTGACAGTGGTTCGTGTTGTTGTATTGTTCGTCATGTTTGTTTGTTCTTTCGAAGTCGATTTTTCAGTTCCACCATGTTTACTTATGTAATCCACTGATTATGATTTAGAAAACAATTTTCCACAGTAAGTTCTTACCATATTCGATGTCCCCTCGATGTCTGATGCTACGTTTATTAACAGCGAATATGCATGATCATTTCCTGGACTCAGTAAGGCAGTTTTGTACAACTAATAATCATATAATAGAGGTACCTGACTATTTAACATATTTTCTTTTTTTCGGTACCATAAAGTATCGATACTAACACAATATAATTTCGAAAAGACATATAAATCATAATATCTTTCCTGAAAATGAAAAAATGACCATTTTAACAAATTCTAGATACAAAGGGAAATTATTGGGCACAGTATACAACACTATTTGTAGTACGGTTATTTTGTAAAATGGGACAATATTGCAATATGTTCAAGCCCTAAACAGTTGGGCTCAATCTACAATAAAACACATCGAAAGTGAGAAATCGAGAACGAAGAATCGATACCACAATTTAAAAAAACATTAAAAATCATCGACAATTTTTTCATCTGGCGCGGCGGGGACGTACATGGCATAATTCACTTAAAAATTGCAGGTTTGTGCTCTGATGTGTTGTACTTATATTGATTATGAATTAATGAAGAGTTATGGGCTCAAAACCTGATTGAAATGGCGAAGCTGAGTTTATTTATAAAGAAAGCGTGATGCCTGAAAAAATGACCAGCGTAGCCTTGACGGGCTTGTGCGCCCACCCCGTACCGTGTGTGAAGCTGCTGCTAAGCTGAATGCCGCACGCGCATTGAGCAGTTGACAATGTGGTTCAGCAGTACCAACCAGTAATATGAGGGCGGTGTTCAGTGCAGTGATAGAGCGCTGACATCTCCGTGTAAAAAAATAATAATCATTTTTTATGAAAAAAAGTAAAACTGCTGCAAACTGCTGCAATCATTTTTTATGTCACTAATGAGAATTAAGACTGAGTCCCACATTTTCGGGTTAGGCTAGACATAGCCCTAGCTGGAGTTACCCAGCCCTGAGTTTTATCATTGGGTTGTCTATTAGGGCTGGAGCGAATTTTTCTCGTAACTTGTAGTATAGGCAAAATTTTTTGGAAAATGTTCAATTTTGTCCCCGTTACACTAGCTGGAGTTACCCAGCCCTGAGTTTTATCATTGGGTTGTCTATTAGGGCTGGAGCGCATTTTTCTCAAAACTTGTAGTATTTGCAAAAAAAATTTGGAAAATGTTCAATTTTGTCCCCGTTACACACCAAACTTGCCTGGAATAACCATTACACAGGTCCTTGAAGTAAAAAACGATCCACGATGAAGATTCAGCCTACAATTGCAGTGAAAACAGGAGGAATAACCGCTAACTATCTCTGTCAACTACTCGTTTTTGCCGGCTGCGCTGGCTGTTGGCATGACGTCACGCGGAAGCGTAACACCCGATGACTGTTTTATGCCCTAGTATAAGGTTTACCACTCGCATCACAGCTTTGGTACTGGAACCGCAACCAATAGTGCATGAAACAGTCATCGGGTGTTACGCTTCCGCGTGACGTCATGCGCCAACAGCCAGCGCAGCCGGCAAAACGAGTAGTTGACAGCGATCGCTCTCTGTGCCTGTTAATCGACCGCCATTCATTGTACACAATTTTTTTTGTGCACAAACCAATAGCGGTCCTGGCCAATCCAGCAAGGTTGTCAAGTTAGCGGTTATTCCTCCTGTTTTCACTGCAATTGTAGGCTGAATCTTCATCGTGGATCGTTTTTTACTTCAAGGACCTGTGTAATGGTTATTCCAGGCAAGTTTGGGGTGAGTTGCAGTTGCAATTAGTGTGTAACGGGGACAAAATTGAACATTTTCCAAATTTTTTTTGCAAATACTACAAGTTTTGAGAAAAATGCGCTCCAGCCCTAATAGACAACCCAATGATAAAACTCAGGGCTGGGTAACTCCAGCTACCGTTACACACTAATTGCAACTGCAACTCACCCCAAACTTGCCTGAAATAACCATTACCACTGATTACACAGGTCCTTGAAGTAAAAAACGATCCACGATAAAGATTCAGCCTACAATTGCAGTGAAAACAGGAGGAATAACCGCTAACTTGACAACCTTGCTGGATTGGCCAGGACCGCAATTGGTTTGTGCACACAAAAAATTGTGTACAATGAATGGCGGTCGATTAACAGGCACAGAGAGCGATCGCTGTCAACTACTTGTTTTTTGCCGGCTGCGCTGGCTGTTGGCGCATGACGTCATGCCGAAGCGTAACACCCGATGACTGTTTCATGCACTATTGGTTGCGGTTCCAGTACCAAAGCTGTGATGCGAGTGGTAAACCTTATATTAGTGCATGAAACAGTCATCGGGTGTTACGCTTGTACATGTAGTTTATCATATAAATTAGGCCCTACTATTGAATAATACATTTTGATGGGGGGGGGGGGGGGCAGACTGAATGCAGTAATCAGGTAGTTTAGGACACATCAATTTTTTACAAGTTCTGTTCACAAATCAACTTAAGCTACATGTAGCTGATGATCAAGATGGTATCTTACTAATTCTTAGCGAATTTGGGACTCTACTGTGCATACATGTGTCAGAAATGTGATTGTTGTTTTACACATACATAATGGAATATAATTAACTGAAATTTTTAAAAGACCTGTATCGAGATGCCATTGATGAAGACAGGTTTTGTGACTTAAATCAAAGATGCCTTGTCAACATGTATATCACAGAGAAATAAAGACTTGCCGCCATTGAGGGCGCCCTATGCAAGGGCTCTGTTGGTGTCGGAAAACATTCATCATCGTTCATGTACACGTTGTGTACACTGTCGCGTAAATCATGTCCTCTGTGTTTTCTATTTAGAAATGGCAAGCAAGACCAATTGGTGGCCTTGCTGTGTGAGTGTGCTACTCCTCGCCGTGGTCTTGGGATTAGCGGCTGTCCATTGGCAAAAACAAAGTGAATTTAACACCTTCATGGAAGAACATGGCTTGATGCAGCACGGATCTGTATTCTCCAATGCCGGTAGGTACATGTACATCATCTATAGACCTACTTTAAAACAACAGTCCATCATAATACTGGCGTATTATTGTTGAAAAACATACTTGGTTGAAAGATAGTAAGTGGACTAAACTCCCTGTGAAATTAATCTTTCTGGCAAGCTATCATTTTGAAGTAATCAACAAAAGAAGGCCTTTCCAACAGTACGTCTTAAGACGCACCGTAGGAAAATTTAAATTAGTAGTTCGTTTTGTTATTCGGCGCAGCGCGCGCAAGGCACTGGCACGACGCACAGGCGCGCGCGGTTGCTATAATTCGTCGGATCAGTGCGCGACATCGCGTATAGCTGCAATTCAAAACATGATTCAGAAACTTTTGATTTGAAATTGAGATCCTAGCACATGTAGAATGCTGTTTTTCTCGGAATATACAGCTGAAGCTGAGCTGAAACTTCATCAGGTTAGTTGTTCAGTATCCTTCATTAGATTTTGAACACTTTTGTTGCTTCAAACGAACAAAATGCACAAATTACAAATGATTGACTATATCTTTAATTAGGCAACTATATCACTTTTGGAATTGGTTACGATTCTGTCCAGAGTCTCGGAATTGACTTTCTTCCACAAAGGAGAAGGCCTTAATGAAATTCATTCAACTAATTCAATTAATGAACTGTCAGTTCAACCTGTATCAACTCAATAACTAAGTTATTTTCACAAAATATAAGTAACAACAGGCTACTTTAAAGGGGTGAGGCATCATTCGAAAAAGCTGGGCTAGGTTGGGAGCACTTATCTGTCAAAAACAGTCACTTGGTTGATTTTGACTGAAAAGACAACTTGGTACAGTTTAAACAACACGTATCACAGACAAACTTGTTACTAGAGTCTAAAGCGGTGGTCACATCTTACGGTCATTAACGTAGTTGAACGTAGTTCATTTGACCGTAGTTGACCGTAGTGTAACAACGGTCAACTAGGGTGAAGTAGGGTCGAAGTAGGTTCAAAATTGGCAAAAGAGCAAATATAAAGAACGGTTTAGTAGGGTGAAGTACATGCAACTACTGTCGACTACGTTGATCTGCGGTCAAATCGGCTAGGGTTAACTAGGGTTAAACTACGTCAACTACGTTGAATTACGGTCGAACTACGTGTGAACTACGTGCTACTATGGTCAACTAGGGTCAACTACATTGTACTACGGTAAAAGCTCGCGACCGCGTCTACGTAGTGTGGGTCGGCCACGGCATGGGGACAGCCATTGCGCTTTGAGAAGTCAGAAGGACAAGACTGCTGTTTGTTATCTGAACTTTTCTTCTTCTTTTTTTCTCATTCACCCTAGTTAACCCTACTTATCGCACTAAACCGTACTGTGACCGTACTGTGAACGTACTTCAAACGTAGTTGACCGTACCTCGACCGTAGTGCCATGGTTACTACGGTCAACTAGGGTCAACTACGGTCAACACTACGGTCAAGTAGGGTCAACTAGGGTCAACTAGGGTCCACTAGGGTTAACAATGTACATACTAGGATCACAGTACGGTATAGACATTCACGCTGACCGTAGAAATATTTTCAACATGTTGAAAACTGTTGGGCTAACTACGGCCAAATCATGGCAGAAAACCAAATTTGCAAATTGCTACGAGCAGAAATCAGAAATTGCGTTAACGACCAAACCAAATTACGAATTAATACGAGCAGCAATCGGAAATTGCGTTTACGACCAAACCAAATTTCTGAATTTTTTCTACTAGCAGAATATCGGAAATTGCGTTAACGACCAAACCAAATTTCCGAATTTCTACTAGCAGAAATCGGAAATTGCGTTAATGACCAAACCAAATTTCCGAATTTCTACTAGCAGAAAATCGGAAATTGCATTCATCAGTGTTTCCCCTGGCTAATGAACTGAGCGAGGTGGTAACAATTCAAGTTGATGATTGAAACAAAATTTTCAGTCTGCAAACTGAAAAGAATGCAGCGCTCACAAAAATGCGCGATGATTCCAAAACACATCGAAATTGTGAGTTCTTGATACATGGAGGTAAAGGAAAATGCTCATATATTACACAAAATGAAAATTTTTCAATTGATATTTCCTTTTTTGCCAATCTTCACAGTGAGGTGGTGATATTGGCAAAAATTGAGCGAGGTGGTCACTGAAAGTAGCAAGGTGGGCCACCTCACGTTTGAATGGGCAGGGGAAACACTGGCATTCATGAAGAAAACCAAATTTCAGAATTTAAACTAGCAGAAAAAAAAATGGTATGAACATTTGATACCCAACAAAATTGGAATCATTGGCATGTGTTTCTGTTTTCCGGAACTCCTGTGTCGGAAGTAGGGTGAAGAATGAATCATAACTTCATGTATAACTGATGCTGTTTTTTGCGTCTGTGGGCTGGTCGATTGATTGTGATAATAGGTGTACCAACATTATGGTTCTGTGTTGCTATGGCGTTCTTTGATGAACGTCTTCAATGCAATAGAGATGTGTTTGATGATCTTTGTCAATGTAAAAAAAAACACCAACAGTCTGCTGATGAGGGTTTCTTACCCAAAATCAGTTATGGAGTAGCCCAAAAAATCTAATCCCATTTTCCGCTAACAAATTCCACCTTGCAGGCGTGGATCCGGGGGGAGGGTGGGGGGGGGGGGTCCCCCCCCCCAGCTCTGTCAAAAAACATTTTCATAGAAATTCATTAAAAATAATGCGAACCCCCCCCCTGCTCTGACACCCCCCCCCCCAAATAAAATGATAATAGTTCCGCTTTCATAATTGGCGGGTTTGAACAGTGCCCCATTGAAAGTATGGTACGAGCCCTCCCCCCCTCCCCCTTGGCCAAGTGTCCGGACAAGAAACCTGTCTACATTTCAGTAATGATTTGCTGACAAACCCGCCCCCCCCCCTCCACCCCTGCCTTGATTGAATTTAAATAGTAAAACAAAATTGAAATTTGGTTTATGGTATCAAAAGTTCATTTTTCTGCTAGTGGAAATTCGGAAATTTGGTTTGGTCGTAAACGCAATTTCCGATTTTCTGCTCATAGAAATTCAAAAATTTGGTTTGTACACTTTTCGACCGCCTGTGTACAAGAAACTATAAAAATCCTTATTTTTTGATAATTAATAGCTATAAGCAAAGCAGTGAAGTAAATTTGTATAGACTGGACACATGACCGTTGTAGACCAATGAAATTATAGTATCAAGGACACATAACAAGAAGAAGGTTATTACATGTATCATGTAAGGTGACTCACTATTTTCGTCGTATTTACTCTTTAACAGTAGGTCTTATCATCATTAAAATGTGTAATTGCTTGCTGATAATAAAATTATTTTCACCTGCACAATGCAAGTCATCTATGGCGTCACAGATTTGACAGATTAGACTGTAGGCCTACTGCATTCTTGTTAAAAGTTCTTCCGCAAATTGATCTTTGAACTAATCAGTCAACCTTCATAATTATTGCCAGTGTTGTATCAGGGAGGGGGGGGGGGTTTCGCCAGTGCCTCATTACAGCTACTACTGAATACCCAACCTAACAACCCCCTCCAAACAAACAAACAAACAAACAAACAAAACAAACAAACACCCCAACAAACAAAATATGGGGCCACAAAAACTCTAAATATGACTGGTTATTGGCCTGATATTGACACTAAGGGAACTAGATTCATCTACACTTTATACTTTTTTCAGAACAGATGTTTTCTCGAAAGCAGATTCCGAATTTGAATTCATTGTATTATACATGTAAATCCTGGCAATGAGTCAGATATGCATACAGAGTTGCATTGCATGCCTCTGGCAAAACAAATGGGGCCTTGACAGTATGGCACACTTGACACATGTAGAGAATTGTACATTGTAATAATGTATTGCATTATTCAATGCAAAGACCCCAGTTGGCATGATGGGGGATTTTTACTTTGTCTTTGTCGCTTTATTTTACCGGTGCACACATTTGTTGTTAGTTAACATTTGATTCCTGAACAAAAAAGGCAGATACCGGTAGTGTACAAATATTTTTTGGCAATGCGTACATAATTTCATAGAAACGTGATTTTTTTTTTTTTTTTTTTTGAATAGTTTTGATTTTTAATATTTTTATTCAAAAAGTTGGTTTGAACTTTAAGTAACTCCTAAAAATTTCATTTCACGAGAGAAAAATACTCCCCATTCCTGCAATTACAATGTATGCAGAATACATGTAAATTATGCGTACCGGTATGAATTATAAATGCAGCTTTGACAGCATGTCAAGCATGTATTCTGAGCACTATCTGATTATGCAATAGGTATACATGTAGTGTAATTCATGCCCTGATCTTCTCTAATTGGATACAGTCAGTGACAATGTAACCTAATTACAGTGTATACATGTACATGTTGTATACTGCACAACAAATTATCAGTGCAGCCTGGCATGCCTGATACATGTATGTGGATACTCATGTTTTATGTGTGTACTGACTTGCACTTGTACACAGCACAGTATGTGCACACAAGCACATACACACGTACATGTACCGGTGGGCCTGTACATTGACACTGGGTCTAATGTACAGCCTGTCCCCCAAAAAATGCTGCAAGCAGAAACGGGCTCTGTGTCCTTGGAATATTGAACAATGAATGATGCTTAGGTCTATATAATGTTAAACCTGGGATATTCAGCTTTCAAATGCTATTTGTTTTATCAAGTTTGCTTTTGCCAAACCAGAGATATGGTCCGTTGAACACAAACACTCAAAAATCAATTTGTGCCGCTTTCTATACATTCTGACATTGTTAGGCCTAATAATGACATGACAAGACATGGCACCTGTTCAAATCCGACTTCAATTGAGTGTCGCAATTCCAGAAGATATGTTTTTATTATGATGATTTGGAGAGTGTGTTACAAATAATGAAAAGAACATTATACTATGAATAACAAAAGTGTTTCCTCACCTATTCATTACTAATTGTTTTTCTGCACGAATACATATTCTTTTTCTGCACGAATGCATAAAAAAAAAAAAAAAACATAATACTGGCAATACTGCTGTTTATAGTATCAACTTACGGAAAGTGACAAATTGAAAATTGAGCGTCTGTTTTCAACGGACCATATCTCTGGTTTGGCAAAAGCAAAATTGATAAAACAAATAGCATTTGAAAGCTGAATATCCCAGGTTTAACATTATATTTAAGCATCATGAAACATTTTTCAGTATTCCGAGGACACGGAGCCCGTTTCTGCTTGCCACTGTTTTTTGGGGACAGACTGTATTTGTGTACCTCTTTTGAATTGCAGGAAAAAACGATGATCTCATTCTTAGCTTGAGATCCAACTTGTATGTTAAATACATAGGGTAAACTGGGGTAAAAACGCCCACTTGACTTGTTTCCACTGCTAGTAAAAAATGACAAGATGAATTGTTCAATGGAATATATTTTTAATAAGTACAATGTAGATAAAAACTGATAATAAAAAGAATTAAATTCACTAACATATTTGAAGGGTACGTAGGTGCTGTTGAAAAAAATATTTAAAAAAAAGTTTTAAAAAATGGCCATCGAAGGTTTAGCCTATATCGCTTAAAATTATTTTATAAAAAAAAGTATCTTATATTTTTATTATTCTTTAGTTGATATATATTAAGAAGGGTTAATAACATAATTATAAATGATTACAATATTAAAATCTATTTTAATATTTGCTTAATAATGTTTTTTGAGTGGGCGTTTTTACCCCGGGCAAAATCAGGGGTCTCGGGGTAAAAACGCCCAGTACTTTCCTTAAAATAAAACTCTGTTGCAGCCTCATTTTTCTTCAAAAACCTCACTGTTAGAACTTTCTACAGCATTATGTTTGTTGTATGAGTAAGTATTAGCTATAAGAGTCCCACTACATAAATATTAAACAGTCAGGCGCGGATACAGAGGGGGGGTTTTGGGGGTCAAACCCCCCCCCCCCCCAGCTCTGTCAAAAAAAAAAAATTATCATACAAATTCCTAAAAAAAAAGTCGAAACCCCCCCCCCCCCCTGCTGTGACACCCAAACAAAAATGATACTGGTATAATGTCCACCTGTTCGAAATACGGTACATCATTCTGTAATCTAGTGTTAATAATCGTCGAATTTGAACAGCCCCCCCCCCCCTCCCCCCCCCCCCCCACCAGTTTTTGATTTTACGGAGGCAAAGTGTCCGGAGAAAAAAAAAACCTGTGTACATTTTCAGATTTTTTTGCTGATGAATCCCCCCCCCCCCTTGCGAAAACTCCTGGATCCGAACCTGACAGTGTATTGCGTGAAGTGGGGAGACCTTAGGCGGTATCACTACCGGTAACTGACGTCTTGAAGTGGCAAGGAATCTGGCATTTGTTTAGTGGCGAATGCCGTGGGTCTATGATATGTGAGCAGATTCGCTGATTAATTAGGCAAGACCCGCCTCTTGACCTCCTAGATTTTGACCAGTCAGAGGGCGCTTTCTATATCGGGTCTTCGGTCATTCACCGTTGCGCGTCATAGACAATGGATTAAAAAGCCCTGCGTCACGCACTCTGTTACCATGTTACGCGATAACGCGCCTGGCTGTTGTTGCATTACAAAACACTGCATTCGAATTGACCAATCAAACGTTAAGTCCTGATTTGGGAATGAAATGACGTCACGATTTAGTAAAGTCGACTCCGATTGGCTGAGGCGTGAGATCGCATAAATCTGCATGCTTTGATATATCAGACGTCAGACAGGAGTCTGGGCTCCGTGGATAACGGGTGATACTCAGACTAGCATTTATTAGGGAATGCTCTAGAAATCATGAGCTCATGGTATTTTCTCAAGAAAAAAAAACAACACCTTTATGGTGGTTTGAGTGTACTTTTAATAAGTAAAAATGAATAGAAATGGCTCTAAGACCCAACTGGACCGGTTTCTACTCTCATGCTATAATAGCAGAGCTTCATCAGTAGTAAGCCAAATCCAGTGTTTTATATTCGGCTAAATTAGTCATGTCAAATGTTAGGGTGCATAGATACACATAAGTGCATCTAATAACATTTTGTGTGAACCTTGTAATGAGTTCAATTCCGGTTATTGATAAACCTTGATTTGACAAGTACACCTTTAAGATTTTTGGCCTTTTATAGGCAGGAATTGGTTCGCTGGGAAACAGATTGCATACATGTAATTTCAGGTGTTCCGGAATTACATGCCAGTCTTTCAGCAATACTTTTGTTAGCTGCTGGGTTTTGATGTGTGGTGTGTAGATTATCTTGAAGACTAGAGATAGTTCTTTTGGTCGTGTTTCATTCATGATGTATTGCTCACAGATTTCAAATTGTATGTCTTTTATGACTGGCAATTTCCTCTTTCTTGTGGTTACAGAGTAGAAGTTTCTCCATGAACGCATTTCTTTTCTCTAAGAAATACAAATGTACATGTCTTGTTGTCACAGAAATGTGCGTATCTTAGTACCGTAGTTCTCCTTTGATAAATCCTTAGGTTACCAGCAGTAGGCTAGAAGCACACATACAAAAATACCTAATAACATGGAACCACATGTATGATTTGGCTAAACAAGATTGAAATAGATTTTTCAATATTGGCAGGTCTGATCATTAAACCTACAAGTTTATTATGGGCGAATTATGTACGCTAATGTTCCACTTCCTTCCACATAAAAATACCTGTTTCAAATGATCAAGTTTGTAGTTATAATTAACCAGTTGTGTTTGAAAAGTTATTTGTATTTGATGAAGTATCCCTCCATATTAAATTAATTACAAAAATATGACTATACTACAGGGAAACCTGTGGTATAGCATTTTTTTTTTTTATAAATGTGGGCGGGCGTTTTTACCCCGAGGCCCGGGTAAAAACGCCCGCCAAACTTCCTCTCGAAAAGGGGGGAAAATTTCCCCTTATCAATATAATGACCATGATATTATATTTGCACCTGATAGAGGAGACATGTATTGCATAAAACCACACATTTATTTCTTGGTGTCTCCAAGTACTACTGAGATATTTAACAAAAACCTAAAAATCGGGCGTTTTTACCCCAGTTTACCCTACATGTCCCTTGTCAATGCTTGTCAGTTTGATAATACCAACGTGACAATAATGAGCACCCAATGGGACATGATTGTATAAAAAAGTATGTATTTCAGGATTATTCCCTCAAACTGGGACCTGCATGAAGATACAAACATTTAAATGTGATCTTCTTTCCATGTTTCATGGGCAATAAAAAACTGTGAACAGGTGAATGAGTGCAGTGGATCAGAAATACAAAATATCAAAAATATATTAAAATTAAATTTAATTGTGTTAGATTTGTGTGTGGATATATTTGATATTCAAATTACATCTCCATCACATGGTTAATAAATCTTTAATTCTAATATTCAATTTTTTAAAATTTTATTTCTTCAATGGATCGTGTTCAAGTTAACATCTTCAAAATTGAAAGATTGTAAATTTGTGTGAGCAGATGAAGATGTTGGATATTTTACTCAACTCCGATTTTGCCCGCAAATAGTTTTACATTTTCAACTTTTTTTTGTTTTGTACAATGTAATTGACTAAACCCGTTTACATCTTCAAAATTGAGAGATAGTTAATTTTTGTAGAAAAATTGACGTGCTGAATCTTTAAGAACATTCTAAGTACTCTGACATGGCTGATATCGTCGTCTCAGGAATGTTTCTTGTCTGAATTGACCTTTCCTGTGACAGGGATCAACTACCTGGAGCAGTTTGCCTCGCCGAGTCTGTTGGAGCACAAAGCCTTCAAGGAGATCTCCCAGGCGGAGAGAAACAAAATCTACGGAGTCTCGGAGAAGCTGGCCTCCTCCCTGCTCCTCCTCCAGTGGCTGGAGTCACGGCAACTGCAGCATCACCATGGCGATGTTCAGATATGGCTGGATGAGCACAAACAGCAAGGGCATCACTGGTAAGGCATACCCATACACATCCGTTCAGAAATGATTATTTAGGATGATTTTTATGACACTTGTTTTGAAGGAGACAAAAACGTGTTTGCTTGAGTACTTTTTTTTATTGCTGGGATTACATGTATATTCAAATAAACCTGAACAGAAATTGAATGGTTGAGTTGGAGGTTAAAACATTTGATGGCAAATTGTGTTTTATTACCCATTGTTGAAGTATGCTCCATAATTTATTTCATCCCGAAAGGAGCAAATATATTTCTTTGTTTTATTTTCATCGTTGTTAATAACGTAAATATAGAAGCGATAGGGCCTACACTGTGCTTTGTACATTTACTACATTATACAGGGTATAAAAGAAGTTGACCGGGATTGGTGATATTTTTCAAAACAAACAAATGACAATCAAAAGTTCAGTAAAGCATATATTTAACAAGCACTCTCTCCTGCTTATTAGAAAAAAGAATGAAACAAATTGATCATTCCTAAGAGGAGTTACATGTACGGTATGTCTATTTTAATAAAGGTACTCATTTTGCAAGCTGTCCACGGAATACTTGAACAAACAAATGTAAAGTAAGCATTTTAGCTGTGTACATTAACATTCCATGGACAGCTACAAACATGAGTGCTTTCAGTAAAACAGGCATAACTTCTCTTAGGAATGATCAATTTGTTTCATTCTTTTTTCAGATAAGCAAAAAAGAATGCTTGTTTAATATGTGCTTCACTGGGGTTTTGAGTGTCATTTGTTTGTTTTGAAAAACATCACCAATCCCGGTCGACTTCTTTTTGACTCACCCTGTATTGCCTTGAATCTGATCATGTTTCTATCAGTCTGTGTTCATTTGCCCCTCTTGCATACACTTATTGTGGATTTGTGCGCATGAATTGTGCAAACATGTTTGTGAGTTTTTCATTGATTGAATGATTTATGTACAGGGTACATGTGGGTTTAGCATAGGGGACGTTTTGTTGCATCTTTTACAAAATATAAATATTTGTTTGACCTTTGGTGCATACGTGTAGCTGTGGTAGGTGATTGGTACTAGTTGAGTCATAGCACCTTCTGCTTTGCCTTGGGTGCTGTGCACCCCTCGGATGTTAAAAGTGTCATGTCCCACATCACAGCAGTCAACAATTATTAAAGATATAGTCCATCATTTGTAATTTGTGCATTTTCTTTGTTTGAAGCAACAAAAGTGTTCAAAATCTAATGAAGGATACTGAACAACTAACCTGATGAACTTTCAGCTCAGCTTCAGCTGTACATTCCGAGAAAAACAGCATTCTAGGATCTCAATTTCAATTCAAAAGTTGCTGAATCATGTTTTGAATTGGGCCTGAATTCAGCGTCCGAGACACGTTCTCACTGAGCCGATTGCAGCTATACGCGATGTCGCGCACTGATCCGATGAATTATAGCAACCACACGCGCGTGTGTGTCGTGCCAATGCTTGCGCGCGCTTCACCGCATAACAAAACGAACTACCAATTAAAATTTTCCTACGGTGCGTCTTAAGACGCACCGTTGGAAAGGCCTTCTATCGTTGATTACTTCAAAATGACAGCTTGCCAGAAAGAATAATTTCACAGGGAGTTTAGTCCACTAACTATCTTTCAACCAAGTATGTTTTTCAACAATAATACACCAGTTACTTTTCGGATGGCTGCAAATGATGGACTATAGCTTTCAATATTTTCAATACGCTGCAAATTGTAACGCTTGGTTTGTTTCACAGAATTTACCTATCACGTGTATTGCCCTTGACAGAATAAGACCAGTCAGGAAAAAAAAAAATCCAAAAATTAGGATTTTGCAAATGTTGTAGCTCCTTTACGATGTGTCCTGAAGTCACATTTTTCCACAAAATGTTACTTGCATGCTCTATCCACTCTGTGCGTGAAAAAGAGAGGGCGTTTTTTAAACCACTTTTGAAACCCCATGGACGGGACACAACACGTACATGCGTACTGGTTCGCACGCTTATAGCGCAAATACGCATGACTACTTTTATTCTAAATGTGGACAAAGCAACAGTGTCTTTGCGTGAGCATCAGGCAGCATCAGCAGTGTCTCTCCCATTGGTCTCCCCCAACTCTCCCTTTCTTACCGATGAGGGAAAAGATACTTTTAGTTATAAGGGTGTAGCTGTCCTTTTGAAAGGTGCAAAGTAAACTAAGGGAACAAGTCTTTCCTCTTTTCCTTATTCTCAAAGGAGCGTCAAGTTTGGCTATGCCGGTGTGAGACAGCTTGCCATGCTCACACAGGAAGAGACTACAACATTGGTCACATACCTGAAGACAACTGAGTTTGAAACCTACTTGCTGAGGGAAGGCATTAAGGAACTCGCAGGTGATGACAACTGGAAGAGACTGATCTTGAATCCAACCTTCTCCAGTCTACAGAAAATGAAGGAGTTTTTCATTTTTGGTAAGTAGATGCAGGCTAGGTGTTTGTAATCCGTTTATTTACAGACTAATTTGTTTTTGCATTGGCCATAACAGTAAACTGTTTTTACTTATGCTAAGTAAAAACAAGTTAGTGTTCTTGTAGTTTGAGAAATTTCAGAATTTGAAATCCAACATGTTATTGCTTTCAGTGCACAAATTCTGTGTTTATTTTGTATAAACCTGTGCGCATGATGAAACGTCGGGCTCAAAGTCAGCAAGCTTTCATTTTTAACAAATTGGTCCACAACAAGTACAGGTAAATGGAAATGGGTCAACTCGTACCCGAGTCAACTCGTACCCGAGTCAACTCGTACCCGAGTCAACTCGTACCCGAGTCAACTCGTACCCGAGTCAACTCGTACCCGAGTCAACTCGTACCCGAGTCAACTCGTACCCGAGTCAACTCGTACCCGAGTCAACTCGTACCCGAGTCAACTCGTACCCGAGTCAACTCGTACCCGAGTCAACTCGTACCCCAAAATTGACACCCAAGTCAAGTCGTACCCGAGTTAGGTCGTACCCGAGTCAAGTCGTACCCCAGTCAACTCGTACCCGAGTCAAGTCGTACCCGAGTTGACTCGTACCCGAGTCAACTCGTACCCGCAGCTCAAAATAGTTGACAATTTTCGAAAAGAAAATCAGTGAAACGAACGAAAGATCGGAGGGATATGGCCGGTTGTCCGTGCACGGTGACATCGTTTGTGCCGAGCCTGTGCGCGCACTCGCTGGTCAACGTGGTCGTACCGTGCACAGTGACATCGTTTTTGCCGGGCCCGTGCGCGCACTCGCCGGTCCACGTGGTCGTCCGTGCACGGTGACATCGTTTTTGCCGGGCCTGTGCGCGCACTCATCGGCCAAAGCATGGAGGAAGGAAGAGTATGCATGCTTTTATCAATTTATTTTATTTTTATATTACAGATGATCCTGTGGTTTTCCGATGAACCATTTTCTGCTGCTCAAACCGATCGATCGGATGGTCTGTCGCACAGTTCATGATGAATCGAATCGGATGTCAAGTTTCGAGGACGAAACCCGATTAGCTCAGTTTTGTTTAAGATAATAAAACTTTCTCTTGCACTTGAATTACAATTTGCTAATGTCAAACAATCTTTCACACCCAAGGATCAACTAACAAATTGGTCCCCTAAAACTTATAGAAAGAGCATCTCTGAATGAAACGAGCCACCATTTTCCTTTATCGTGTTTACTTCCTTGATGCCTCAAATGCAAATAATTAAAAATCCTACATTTCTGTTACCAAAATAATATTCTAGTTGAACTTATCGCAGAAACTTTATTTAAGCTGCACAAGATTTTTTTTACGACATTTACCGAACTAATTGTACAAAAAATGACCCACATATTAAAGAATCATTATAAATTAAATAACGATGTCCGTGTGACTCTTTTAAGTTTCCTGTAATATATTTTCTCTTCAGATTTGTACTTTCAGGGCCCCCAATCTTCCCAAAGAGATTTGTGCCATGTACAGTTTTTATTCAATAAATGATGCCAAAAATGGAGTGAGTGAACGTTGAAAAATATTACTTTTACATTACAAAATTCATTTTTTAATAGCAGCTTTCTTTAAAAAAAAAAGGTCTTAAATACTAAATTCGTAAAAAGAAAACTATGCCCTTAAAACACGTTCGACCAAACAAAAAAAAGACGTGGCAGTTTGCACAGTCACTCCGCAATCTCAGTGATCCAGGGTCTCTGAAAAAAAGAAAGAAAAAGCATCATTACTAAGAGAAAATACTACACAAATTTTAAAATAACACATGTGATGATCTGGATGAAAAGTGTAATTTACCGTTTATCAGCGAGGGCTCCGTCGACTCGCGAGTACCACACTGATGCCGTTTTGAAAATGTTCTCCGCGCGGTACCCGTCCGTTCGCGATGAAGCCCTTGCCGATGAACGGTACATTTTCCCGTTTCATCCAGATTGTCATCAACATTTGATACCACCGCCTTCAACTAATCCTTGAACTTTATTTGTATTTCTGGCAGCGTAACTACTATTTCTCAGTCGCCGTTTTTGAGGGTAAAATCGGAAGTTTTGTTAACCATCCATCCGTACTTCCAAACTAAAAAAGGAGGGGAGTACGAGTTGACCTGGGTGCGAGTTGACCCGGGTACGAGTTGACTTGGGTACGAGTTAACCTGGGTACGAGTTAACTCGGGTACGAGTTAACCTGGGTACGAGTTGACTCGGGTACGAGTTGACTCGGGTACGAGTTGACTCGGGTACGAGTTGACGCGGGTACGAGTTGACTCGGGTACGAGTTGACTCGGGTACGAGTTGACTCGGGTACGAGTTGACTCGGGTACGAGTTGACTCGGGTACGAGTTGACTCGGGTACGAGTTGACTCGGGTACGAGTTGACTCGGGTACGAGTTGGCTCGGGTACGAGTTGGCTCGGGTACGAGTTGGCTCGGGTACGAGTTGGCTCGGGTACGAGTTGGCTCGGGTACGAGTTGGCTCGGGTACGAGTTGGCTCGGGTACGAGTTGGCCTTGAGTTTTTTTCCCCCCGAACGACATCCGAATGGGGTGTACACTATGACGTTTGGGGTGTACACTATGGCGAACCCTAGCACATACGAACTTGGCCTATGCATCGTGCGGGAATTTGCACGCCTGCGCACTTGCAGTCATTTTTAGAAAAATATGTCGGTGACTTGCCTACGTCACAGACAACCCGAACGTTTGCGGGTCAATCCAGGTCAATTCCCGCGCGGACCATCTATTTTTGAACCGATCGATATTGCGGTCGGCCGATATGTAATCAGATACGTTCCCACGCCACGGCAAGGCACTATGCATACATGCTGCATACAAATGCGTATACGTGTATGTACATGTATTGGATGATCCAGGGGATCGGCAAGCTTCAAGTTCAAGTCAATTTTTTAAAATCGTAGTTTGACTTTGACTTGAAGCTTCACTTTATTTTTGACCGAAATGCAATGGATTACATGAATATTCAAAGTTACATAATAATACAGCAATTATGAAAGACCGTTTAGATTCCTACATCATTTGTTGTGAATTAGCCACTGGAAAACACAGTATCGTATTTAAGTTTAATAACTTTTCAAAATCTGCACCTGTGGTTTTTACGACGATGGAAAAAAATCATTTTAAATTTTTTTTTTCCTTTTTTCCCCCGGCATATTTTTAAAGTTATATTTCTTTGTCATAGTGCTAGCCCAGGGCGGATAAGCATCGGGTCTTTTTGCTGTCAGTCTTTATGTTATCATTTTAAAAATTATTATGTTTTTACAGGCATATTTTATTCATAGGTTAATTTAAATGTAAGTTATACTGTTGTCAGTTCTTGCATGCTGTTTTTACTGTTTTTACTCTTTGATTTTACGCCAGGACAAGAATGTGTTTGTTTTTAACTTAGATGACTAATAAAAATACGAATATGAACTTGTTCACCACTTGTCAATAATGTCGAGAAGTTATAACGGCATGAAAATAAAAGGAAATACACTTGATGCCAACTTCACGAAAGGGGTAGATCATGGGGGCAATTCCAAAGAGTCGTCAAAGAACAGACGCAAAACAAACATTCCAGATCATCAAAAACTCGTTCTTTAAAAATCGAATCAAAGTAAGTAAGCAGTAACCAGTAAGCATGACAAGTCTTTTAAAAAAAATTGTTTTGAAATTTTTGAATCAAATTGCAAGAAGTTTTCAGCGTTTCCACGGAGGGACTAAATTATCAGTCCAAAAATCATACCTTTTTTCAAAATTCTTGTTCCGGCTGAAATTGGTAAATGCACACAACGAACATTTTTTGGAAAGAAGTCTGGGTCAAAATCAGATAAAATCAACGAAATCATAACAATCAATGTTGAGAAAACTTCACCCGAATGTCTTTTGATTTTTCACGAAGAGACAAATTCGTGCAAAGGGGGGAATGGGTATCGGCAATTTGCCCAAAACAACAAGTGTGTGGGATTCAGTTTTCACGACTAGACAAACATCTATGGGGATTAGTTTCGATACCGGTACCTCACAATTGTTGTTCCATTATTCTGTAATTGGTACATCTTTGAAGTTTCATCTGTGTTTCAAAAATTAGTCAGTAGTAGGCGAATGTTTATTCCAAATCGTGACCAACTTAAAACCCCTTTCTGACAACCACTGCAAGTTCAACGGGTGCATTATGTTATACCTGTTCCCCAAACCTAACCCTAACCATTAGACCCTAACACCTATTGCGGCAAATTCACCTCTTCGTGAAAACACTGACAAATTGGAATAAGCGAAATCTCGATAAAGTCAACACTGATAACTCAAAACTTGAAATTCAAAACCATCCCTCCGTGGTCAAAGAAAACTGCACTGAGTACTACGAAATAAAACAATATATATAGCCTATACCCTGATTAGCCGAAATTTCGAGTTGTTCCGTAGCTGCATGGGAGGCTATACTATCAAGGTTGGGGCCATAAAATTATATCGCAAGTCCGACTCCTCCGATGATAAACCCGGACCCCCGCCACGCGCCCCCCGCCTAATATAAGGCTCAATATATGGGCCTTATATAAGATTTTGCCGGACTTGGGGCCTATATGCGTCTGACCTATGAGGCTTAGCAGAGC